CCAAGTTTGTACAAAAAAAGTATAACCTACATTGTAATTGTCATACCGTTTAAATGAAAATATATCAATAACATTATTTTCATAACTTAGACACTTTAATGTTTTTAGAAAAACTAATCAATGCCAAAGTTTTAGAATAAATAAACCTACACATAGTTGTGTAAAATATTATATTTATTTTGTTTGTATCAGCTGTCTGAAAATGTGAAATAAACATTTGGCAGTTCTGATTGTTTACATCAAAATGGCAACGCAGTTTTCTCATGCTTCCATGGAGACCAATCAATATACAGGGTGATTGATATAAGTGTGCCAGCCGTTTTATTCGAAAACTATAAGGGTTATCAAAAAAAGTTAAATAGTAAGTGCCTTGGATTTTTTATTTAAAAAATTTTAGTCGAGTCAAAAAAATTATTTAAGCCGCCATTTTTCTAATATGGCCGCCAACTTTGATTTTCCTTATGGAACACCCTGTATTTTATGATGTATTCTGGTAGAAAATGTAATTTTAAGACGATTTTACTCTTGTAATTTTTTTCATAAACCTAACCGTTTCAAAGATAATAATGGTTAAAGTTTTGAAATTTCTGCATGAGAAAGAGTTTCGATAAAGGCCTAAGCAAGCATGCCAGCTGTTTTGTTCGAAAACCATTCAAAATTTCACAACTTAAACCATTATTATCTTTGAAACGAATAGGTTTATGAAAAAAATTACAAGAGTAAAATCGTCTTAAAATTACATTTTCTACTAGTATACATCATGAAATACAGGGTGTTCCATAAGAAAAATCAAAGTTGGTGGCCATATTGGAAAAATGGCGGCAAAAATAATGTTTTTGACTTGACTAAAATTTTTTAAATAAAAAATCCAAGGCACTTACCATTTAACTTTTTTTGATATCTCTTATGGTTTTCGAATAAAACGGTTGGCACACTTATATCAATCATCCTGTATACTTTTGAAAACCACACCTCAACACTTTTGAAATCCAAGGGGCGCAGCCCAAGAGGAACTCGGGGAAGTATTCCTATTTAAATTAAAACATAAATCAAAATATTTTTAAGATTAAAAAAATTAAATACAAAACATGTCTTAACATGTATCTTACATACTACTATTCCTTTAGATAATAAAATACACGCTTGAATTCACAATGCAAATTAAAATTCTCATTTATAACACATCGATTAAACAACCCATTCTTTAAATGGGAATAAAATACTGACATGTTAGAAAGTGAACATGGCTGACTATATTGGTTCCACAGAGGTTATGCTGAAATATTTTGATACGAGAACTTTAAAAATAAAACAATGGTATTTGTATGTCAATTGAGATAAACATCGTCGATGATTTAAAACCAATCACATTCCTTTCGCAAACAATCTCTACTTTTAAGTGCGTTTTCCTGTTTTAATTTAAGGTAAAAGCTATCCTGTTTTCTACATTTCATTGCACTACTTACTTAATAGATTAAAAAATATTTATTTTTATGAATACGTTACAACAACAACATTTTCTCAAATAACCTTCTACAATATTTTTTTCATTTTAACTAATATTAAATACCACTTTCGTTATAAGATTATTTGCAATATGTTTCCTCTGACTTTAAAAATGTGTATAGCAGAGTAAATTAAAATAAAAAAGGAAAAAAACCATTTCATCTATATTCATAATACATTTAATAAAATTTGGTATGAGAAAGATTTGGGATACCAGTTTATATGTTAAATAATAAATAATTATATAAAGAATTTTGATTGAGATAAGATAAGAAGAAGATAAGAATAAGAAGATAAGAATATCTTTATTGTCGTTAAATACAAAAGTACAATAGACAACGTCAAAATATATACAATTTTTCTATGAATTAGGTATATTGTAGTGATAGAAAATAAGTTAAAACAGGATTTTAAAAAACTGAAACTATATATTAGACATTTGGCATCCAAAAAAATCTTCCAGTGAATGAAAGCTTCTGTCAAGAAGCCAATCAGCCAATCTGTCTTTAAATTTATTATAATCAAGCTCTTGAAACAATACAGGTAGCTTATTAAAGAGCTGTATTTGGAGGAATTTGTGGCTATTGGTTGATTTTGATAATCTTACTGTCGGAATATCTAGCTGGTTACATGCTCTAGTATTATAACTGTGAAATTCGTTAAGTTTTGGGAATGATGAAAGATTTTCTTTAACATATAGCAAATTTTGAAAAATGAATATACATGGCAGAGTCATTATTCTGTGTTTGATAAAGAGAGGTTTGCTGGTCGTTCTGCGAGGAATATCAAACATTATTCTTAGTGCTTTTTTCTGCCACCTGAAAACCTTCTTGGCTCCAGCACTATTACCCCACAGAATGTTTCCATATAGAAGATGGGAGTGGAAGAAACTGTAATAAGATGTAATGAGCATACTATCCGATACGCAACTCTTAAGTCGTCTTAACAAAAAGCAGACTCGGGAGATCTTAGACACAACATGCGTAGTGTGGCGTTGCCAGGTAAGCTTTGTATCCAAATGTATGCCTAAGAGTTTCACTGAAGACGGGATATTTGAACCTTCTAAGTGTTTTAGCGAAAAGCAAATTCGTTCAGTTTTCTGATGATTTAAATTAAGAAAGTTAGCATTAAACCAATTAGAAGAGATTGTGATTGCGTTGTTTACAGTTACTTCAGACTCAGTAAAACTACTATTTGAGGAAAAGAAAGTTGTGTCATCGGCATATAAGAGTGATTGGCAAGATATGTTACTAGGTAAGTCATTAATCATTAATAAAAACAAAATAGGCCCCAACACTGACCCTTGAGGGACTCCAGCTAGAGTTTCCAAAAACTCAGAAGAGTCCCGCCCAACAACCACTTGTTGGAATCTGCCACATAGATACGATTTGAATAAGTGTAGCTCATTGTTCTGGATCCCATAGTATTTCAGTTTTTCCAAAATAATTTGGTGTGATGTACTATCGAAAGCTTTACTAAGGTCCATTAAGGCTACGTTAAGATAATTGTTGTCTTCGAAAGACTTCAAAACCTCGGAAATCAATTTGTCAACTGCCTTTATTGTAGACAAACCAGGTCTGAAACCGAATTGAGCTGGACTTAGAATTTCGTTCTTTTCGAGATGGCTGTAAAGCTGAAATTTAATATGCGTTTCAATTATCTTTGAAAAAATTGGAACTATAGAAATTGGTCTAAAATTATCAATAACGGTTCTATCTCCCTTTTTATGAATTGGATGTGTTTTAGAAAATTTTAGGCAATGTGGGAATATACATGAAGAAATTGACAAGTTTATGAGATAGGCTAGTGGTTCTAAGATGAAAGGGATTATTTCCTTAACTACATTATTTGAGAGACCAAAAACATCCTCAGATCGGGAGGTTTTTAATGACTTAACAATTGATAGCAAAGATCGGATATCTATTGGTTGAATGCGGAACTCTTTTTTCACTGGCTTTGCTTTTTTGAGGAAGTTGACAAAGTCACGATTGCAGTTGGAAGAGTCAAAGTCTTTTGCCACCATTCTACCAACATTAATGAAGTGGTCATTATACTCTTGTGCTGAAATTATGGACTCGAGCTTCTGTGAGGTGCCAGTGCCGGATTCCGATTTTATGAGGCGCCAAGCAGCAGAACATTTATTTGGTGCATTAGTGACTAAACTGTCGTTGTATTTAATTTTTGCCTCAGTGATAGCTAACCTGTATTGTTTCCTAAATTTAAGATACAATTCTTTCAACTTATCGTTACTGTACTTAGGTATTTTTATCAAGTCATTTAGTAAAATTAAAGTGTTTCTCTGTTCTTTCAGACTGCTATTAAACCACCGCTTTGAAACCCTTTTAGCTCCTGGTACACATTTTTTTGTTATTCTAGGACAATATAAATCATACAATAAAAGGAGTTTATCTAGAAATAAATCAAATGCCAGGTTTTCATCATGAGAACAATACAATTCATCCCATTCAGTGTTAGCCAATGAGCTAGCAAACAAATTAATCTGTTTTAGGTTTCTATAGGAAATTTCGTCTAATTTAAATTTTTGTTAGGTATTTAATAATAGTTCAAACCAAATAATTGAATGATCCGAAATAGTGTAGGGCCAAATTCCTTGCCTAAATTGTGTTTTATGACAATTAGTGGCTATGTTATCCAGACAGCTCAGATTTCTGGTAGGCTCCTTATTTATACAATACAAATTGTATGACTTGAGGATATTAAGAAACATAGTACTGGTAATATTCTCTTTAAGGATGTCAATATTGAAGTCACCTCCCAGAACTATCTGATAATTATTTTTTTTCCCACAAACATAATCAAGCAAGGCATCTAGTAAACTTAAAAAGCTATTTACATCAGAACTAGGATTTCTGTACAATGATATTACTAACACCTTATAATCTATCAGCTCTATACATACTGCTTCCATTAATCCATCTTGGGCCAGGTTTGAAACATCAATTTTGTTAAATTGTAAATCTTTGAGAATAAAAATGGCTGAGCCTCCGTGTGGATCGTTATTCCTGCAATAAGCATCAGCCAACTTAAAGCCTTGGGGTGTATAAAAAATAATCTCTTCATTACAACACCAGTGCTCGTTAACCAATACCACACTGCATGTAAACTCATCCAACAATAAACCAAGCTCATCTACTTTATTTCTGATAGACTGTAGATTGGTATGCATGAATCTCAAATAGTTGTTACTTTTATTTGTTTCATTGGCAGTTTTTTTATAATTTAGTTTGGTTTTTGTGCTGCCCTTTGGTAAGTTAAAACCTTTCTGAAATAGTTTGGTATTTTTTGTTTTGAAAGTTGTGTTGTAATTCAATTTTAAAGGTCTTAGGTTGTTCTGAGGAGCAAAATTACTTTTTTTGTCATTGTGCTTTAGTTTAAAGTTGGTGTGAGAGGACAAGGCAGTGGATTATTAAACCTAAGATTATAACTATTTACATACGTCACACCGCTCACACACATATCAGACAATAAGCCATTTACAACCTCGGACACTGATGCACTCGTAGGCACTTCACTGACACTTGTATTTTGAAGACGCACAGGATCTTGGTGACGTCCTGCAGCCTCATTGCAGTTTCCTTGTGATGCTGCCTGTGTAGGTAGAACTGTCGACTGTTGTGCATTCTGGCTAGTGTTTCTCTCTGCTCTGGGTGTGGATTTACTGCTTAATTCAGATGAAGAGAATCTGGGCGAAAGATCAGTATCTTGACTAAGAGGTTTGTTAGCAGTTTTCTTCTGAATCAAACTCTTCATCTGACTAACAAAATCTTGAAATTCCAGTCCATTTCTCAGCGATCGCGTAGAACTTTCCTTATAGGCAATTATCTTGATTAAAGCTCCAGTAGACTTTTGGAATTGGATTAGATTCGATATAAAGGTATGTAGGGGTATATTGTCACGGACACATCCAAGGGGTGGACAAATCAACTGCTTCAATTTCCTCTTTTGAAAATCTTCTACGAGCTGTAGGAAAGCTGAGTCGTAGTCGCTAACCGTAGGTTTTCCATTGTACCTTGCTTTGGTCAATAAGCCATATACAACTGATCCGTCTTCGGTTTGACATGTAAGATAAGAGTTGATGCGATGTGAGGCTAATGGTTTTCCAAAATACTTTTTAAAGACAACCGCAACATCGGCACTCATTTGTCGGGGCTCATCAAAATCTGAAGATATGCAATGTACGAAGGCTGTAGATTTGTCACTTCTAAACTTCTTAATGACATTCTCCATCCTTCCATTGACAACCTCAATATTTGAATATATGGGGTTCGAGGGTGTATTTTTAACGTCATCTAATAGCTGTGGTGAATCATTTTGATTTAAAGCTTTTGTAGCATTATTTTTGTTTTCTCCGATGTTTGTATCACTAGCCATTAAGTATTTTATCCATGTACAAATCTTTCCACACATCATGTTTTTTCCATGATGATTTAAATGGGACCCGTTCCTTGTAAAATGCCTCGATTGTAATGCGTGTGAGAAAAAAAGGTAGGGTGCACTAATCTGTAGTGATAATGAGGCAAGCAGTTTGTTACAATCTGATATTTGGTCAGTTTGACATTTTGGTAGATTGGGTAAGTATGGTAGCTCAGTAAGGATGATAGTCGCCTGGGTTGACGATTTGATACCACGAAGGCGGTCCATCACCTGTGCGTAGTGCGCGGGGCTGGTGTTGTTGGTGCCACCAACTATAACCACATAGTCTCCAGCCGCCACAAACCGTCGTTGGAGTTGGTCTTCTAGTCTATCAAGCACGAAACACATGCTCGCTCCAGGATAGCAACTCGCTGTAACATCGACATCCTTTCCCAAAATGTTTTGCATTTTGTCTGCCATATCCCTTGCGTGACTATCTCCTATTATAAAAATTGTATTATTATTTGAAATCTTTGACGTATTATTGGCAAACGTTTTAGTCAAGTCCGGTGTCCTAGTGTTTTTGTAAATAGCATCGATGGAGAAATCCTGCATGAAAAAGTCCTTATCGATCAGGGGCAAGTTGTTTGCCACAAGGGAGCATACTAACTCGGCGTTATGTACTGCATATGCACCACACTCTACTCCGCCGCTCTGCTGTCGACACGGGACATTCACAAGATGAACCTCGTCACTTCTTTTGTTGCCATTGCCGACATCGTCATTTCTGTTGGACATGAAATTGCTCAATTTTGCAGCCAAGCGCTTTGCTTCAGAGGTGTTAATACCACCCGCTGAGTCCCAGTGGTAGGAGATATCCTTGTGGTTCTGACTTTCTTGCTTTTTAGTAACCAAGAGAGACCAGTGATTGCCTCCTTCATCTGCTTCATTTTGCCTTCCATTTACAACACAGGCAACAAAGTCATATTTATTTAGTTTAATGCCGTTACAGGTTTCTCTTAAGACTTCTATATCGTCCTGGTTCTTAATTAGGTGGCTTACCGCAGGTGGCAGTAGCAACAGGTTGTCCGGTATCAGATTTAGACTCTTGAGTGCTGTGTCTATGTCAGTGTCCGTCATTTTATGCCATTGTTTGTATTGCTTGTTATTAGTTTCTGTTCGCCTTTTGTTGGTTTCAAGACGTTTTAACACCTTAGGTTTACTTGTTTTCGACTTTTTTAATGGGGTTTTATTCGTAGTTGAACGTAGCTGTTCATTCTCTGCTGATTGTTTTTCAAGGGGACGACGTAAAGGTGTCTGTGGATTTTCTATATTAATTTGTTGTGATATGACACGAGTTTTCCTAATCTCCTCTTCTTTCAGTCGAGTTAATATATAGTCATATTCATCTTGTTTATCCTTCAACTTAAGTTCGAATTCCTTTAGTTTTGTATGCAAACAGTCCCTATCCTCGTTCAATCTATTAATATTTGTCATTAACTGGTGTGTGTTTTCTTGTGTAGCTTTACACAGTGAACATTTTGTGTTTGAAGAGTGGTGAATTGTATTATTGTTAACTTCACTAATGGCTTTACGTCCAGGTGTCTCGGGTATTAGCTCAACAGTAACTGTTTGTGTACTGGCGTGCGTAACCCTGTCCTCATTCCGACGTAGCTTCTCTTCTAAGCTGCATTTGATTTTCCGTAGTGTTATCACCTCAGTTTTATAATTACTTAATTCATTTTCTAGAAGGTCTTCGTTGCTGATTGACGTTTCCAGAGCTAGTTTTCTCTTCTCCTTCTCTTCAAGATATTGTTTTTCCAAATGTTTGAAGTCTTCTGTTAAGTTTTGTATGTTGCTAACAAGGTCGTGGTTTTGATTTAAGCAAGTGTCATATTTATTTAAGAGTATCACTAAATTTGGTAAAATTTCAGCAATAGCTTCCTCTTCATATTTCTCTGCCAGTATTCTTAACTGAGCATGAAGATCTATGGCGAGAGAGATTATAATTCTAGTAAAATAGAAAATATTTCATTCGTATTAATCGTACAAATTCAATTTCCAACATATGAAAACCAGTTATAAAAATCAAAAGAATAATTATTTATGTGATTTTAATCCCAGAACTGTATGAAAAACGCTCGTAGTTTTAGCCAATGGATATCTTTTTGATCCGTATGAAACTTAAAAACTAGTCAACAGAATAAAGTAGGCCTACGAAGTTTGCAGTGCATTATAAAATATTGGTCATGTATTCATATACATAGTACATAACATACATGTAATACTTGGCACATGTAAACATGGAATGTAAAGTAAAAGACGTGGTTGTCATGAATACAGATGCATTTGCACATACTCAATAAATATCCAGAACTGGATGTAACAACACGGGTATTTCTCAACATTGTATTGTCTTGAAAACATAATTTCTATATATTTAATGTTTTGGATTGAACAGGTTTTGATTTAAAGTTTTCAAAACCTTTATCATGATTAAAAATATTCTGCGCAATGTATTCTCCGAGAGAAAAAAATCCAAATGCAAAAGAGACAAGCACAATAACAAATTTTTATCAGTCCGAAATCTTATGAGAAATGTTTTAATCATTCACTAGTTTTTATGACAAAACAGCGGGGAAAATACATTTACATATTGTAATAGAATGTATTTCTCTGCACATTCCATCAGATATTTGTAACAAATAAACTAGATTCCAAACAGATTTTTTTTATATTCCTTATTTTAAATTTATAATTCTCAAGCTGTCAAAACTTTTTAATTTGATCTGTATTGTATAATACTCATAAAATATTTACTATTACTGTCACATAATATAAAATAAAAGATTTTCTATTCAATGAGGTTGTCAGTGGTATAAGTCTTTGCCAGTTTCATAGAGACTAGATAAAAGTCATTGACATTTTAGTCTCTCACGTTTTTTAATTAATGGCGTTAAAGAGAAGGTTTAACCGCAACTTAATAAAGAGAATACTTATAAAATTATATGATAGAAACCTAATATTTTGTAGAGTTTTATAAATTCAGTCAAAGGAAATAACACCTAATTCATATGAAGAAACCTGTTTGAACACAGATATTTTTAAACATTAAATAAACAATAATTATATTACTGTTAGGGTTCTCAGGAAAAGCATAATTCTTATAACAAACTGCATTAGTATGAGTGTGTGGTTATAAGAAACGTTCAAGTTTCAAACAGATATTCAAGTCCCATGACCTAGGTGATTTAGTGTCGTTTAAAAGAGATTTGTTACTGCAATATTCTATTGCAATCGTTAAACGGTTAAAGAATACAAATTATATTTTCTAATTATGATCTAAATTTTTTTTCAATACAAATTACATCTATCTAATGCTGTATGACCAATAGAAACTAGGATATAAAATTACTTTAATGCAATATTTTATTAGAGCGTATGTACGAGTAAAAATTGAATTACAGGAACTGTTATGCTACACTCTTGTACAAAAAACATAGTATAGGAAGACTACATAAAACTACAATTAATGAAATATAAATTGCGTTTTATATTTAATAAGTTTTTAACCAATATTTAGAAACTATGAAAATCAAAATCAAATTAAATACTGTTATTGGTATTATTAGATTTAAAATCACAATAAATTTAAGTTATCGTATTTTTGTGTCAATTACGAATAGTTTTCAAACTGGCATAACATTCAAGAGATAAATACAATCATTCTGTGGGTTACCATTGAATAATGGTACTTATCTCTTATAAAGGTACTAACAACTTTAACTTTGTTAAAAAACAATATAAAAATAAAAATGCTCTTTTTTACAGACAACTAACTAAACATAGATCTAACTGTATTTTACAAAAGTTTGTATCCCTAGTTTATTACTAAAATAAAGTTAGTTAGTATTGTCAAATACAATACATAAATACAGAAGTATTGAAAATTACGTAGTGAATAACATTTTGAAATAAAAGGAAACTAAGGTAAATTGAAGGGTAGTCCATATAATTAGAGACACGCAGTCAATATTACAGGACTGAGGGAGAATAGTTAACTCCTATGTGCAGATCCGGTTATACTGAACACTAGAATTTCAAGCAAGTTAGATTGTACCATTGGTCTTATTCGTGTATTTACGTTATGTTTAATGTGTTTATTTAGATTGACATTATTTGTACACTACACAATCATAATTTTTTAATGATACAATAGTCATTTGAAAATGTTACAGTTGTAGTCATTTGAAAATGTACATTATTTATATTCTGTAAACTAGTAACGTGGTTAAAACGCCGTATGGATTTTTTTAAATTTAGTATACATCTTCTGGAAGGAGAATGTAGATACGTTAAGCTACGTAACACTAGTTTTCTCAGCAATCAAAACACTCGTCAATAAGGGGTACCTAGCTCACAAGCGGTATTGGGGTAAGCATGTTTTATAAAGAATTACTAAGAAATGATCATATTTAAGATATTTGTAAACCTCCAGGACAGTCTTGCTACATTTTTCAAATTTTAAAACTATTGTTTAACAAATAAAAAAATAGTTAAAACAAGTCCCTAGCTCATTTAGTAATCACTAGCAGAATACCCGTCCTTCGTACGGGGTTGGCGTATAAGTATAAAATTCTTATTGTATCGTGCTTTGCGTTTGCAATGGGAGAGGACACGTTTTAAGAAAATGTGGTTTATAATAATTTACGGTATACTATAGTATGGCACATATACCATAGCCATAATGCTCTACTACTGCACTTAACAAAAAAAGTAATTTCTCACAGCTTTTTGTTGCTGCTCATTTCAAATTAGCTGTTGTAATAAATTTAAAAATAATTAATAGTGCTGCACCCTGTTGGTAAACCTTATAATCTTTTACTGCCATTGAATATCATATAACCATTTTGTGTAGTTGAAACAGTGGTAAAACTCTTTCATTCCTATTAAATATGAATACTCATAAGGTTAACATGGGAATCTCTAGAGCCACTGGGGCGGAGCCCGTAAGGATTTTTGAGATAAGAATATGTTAATCGGGAATGTGAGCTATTGTCATACCAAATTTCACCCCAAACTGGCCAGTAGTTAATGCTTGATTGAACTTCAAACACACAAACTTTCATTTTTAATATTAGAATGACTATGTTGTCAATTTGTAATGGATCGGAAAACAAAAACATCGATATATCGAGAAAAAAATCATCGATAATAATTAATGTTCCCTTTAACAGGAAGTACCAATTTTGATACAAACTTTAATAAACTAGGTAAAAGGCTCATTTTACTCAGAAAAAGCTATACATGTTCTTTGCTACACTATTATACCATTTCCTATTATTTATTCAATTACATTTTACTGATGCATTTGATAAAAATGTTTTATGATTTACTGAAATTTGGCAGAACTCAAAGCACTTTGAACGAGAACGACTTAGATCAAGAGTGCTTCAGACATCTGCTAAGTCTCAATTCCAGTCAGTTTCTCAAACAATTTGCTCTCTGGCCCAAGAGAAGTTGTATTGTAAACTTATCTTCTGACCTTTCACACAGGGAGAAACCACTTCTTGTCAGTTGGATTTGTTTTTGCTAAGACTTCAGTGACAAATCAATGCAAGAAAATGGTTGATTGATTCACAAAACTACTGTAAAAACATATAATTTACTTAAACTACTCGTACTATAGAAATATGTGAAAACAGCCAAGAAAAAACTCAATAGATAACAATGAAAACTTAAAGTGCAATTAATTTCATTACGTGTTAATAAAACTTTATTATGTCCATGTTATAGTAAACTATTGCACCCTTTAAATTCTGTCAGAAATTTAGATGTTTTGAAGTACTTTAAAGATCCTTTTCACTAAAACATCACGATATTATCCCTTCTCACTTTGCTTTAAAAGCGGAGAAATTAATACTGAAAGGGTGATAATTAACACAATTAACAATAGAACAAGCAAAAAATCTGGATTTGTAGAACAAATACCCACTACGGACGACGAATACAAAAGTTTAATATAATCGTTATTGTACCAGACATAATGAGCAAATGATCACGATTTCAAATACAAGATTGAATTTTTACGATTTCAAACGACCTCACTAGCTTTCCCTTACACTGTCGATACATTTAAA